CCACCCATTACCTCTAATTTTATACTAGAGTATTGAATATTTCAATGTAACGCTTTATATTAAATCAAATCGTTCTATACTTTTAGCTTTTCGCACAACGTTTGTTTACTGTATAATTAAACACGGCCGGCAAAATATGATAATGTAAGTACTCATTTTGCTCCTCCCTTCTTTGGAGCTCAGGATACAAAATGTCCCGGTTTTTCTTGAACTTTCTATGCGAGACGGGAAAAGCCCCAGTACGATCGTTTTGATTCTTCACACATTCACAGGAGCATTAGCGAGGTTTGGGCAATATCGTTTTTTTCCAGGATTGCAATATACCTTGCCCTTTCTCTAGAAGCGATAGAGGAGACGTTTATTTCAAAAAAACATTTCATTTCGGCAGTAAAAATTGGATCAATACACTGACCAACAAGGCTGATCTACGTTCAAACCCCTGATTTCTTTGTACAAAGTGATCGACATTTACCTCATGGGAATGCTTTTACCGTTCGCTGTGTTACGTAACACTGAGTTTGCCACGATATCGCATTGGTTTCAGGATACTAGCGCTTGACTTACTAGAAATAGAGGATAAAGGTGCCGTTAAACATGAATGAAAATACATGCTTTAAGCCTTCCTTAGTAATTGGGTCAATACTATAATATTTCTAATACGGGTTAGCTCTTCCGATGAACAAATTCATCCTTTTTACAGCTGATCTCGAATGTTGGAGGTTTATAACTCGAACAATTTAACTTGATTCATTAGTCCGGGATTATATAAACGGGGTTAGATGCCTACGAATTTTCCCGAATACCGAAAAGGATTGTCCGTCCTCGTCTTTTGACTAAAACTATATCCTTTTGCTACCTAAGAGAGGAGTATTTACAATCATATAAATCCTGTTCGGTCAGTGCTTGTCGTACCGTCTGCCGAACTACCCGCTTCCCTCCTTAACTGGCCATGGCCCAAATCAATCATGCAACACGGAGATGGAGAGTATAGAAGCCGTGTACAGGAGGGTTTAAAAACAACTCAGAGATGGTGAAAAATACCTAAAGTCCGTTCAAAGAAAACAGAAAAAACTGACAAAACATTAGCCTCTTCATTTTGAGATCTTTTATATAGTTATTTTCAAAATAAAAATCTAGATAGGAATAAAAACCACCATTATAAGTATCAATTATAAATCTCTTTTACAAATACCATGTAATCAATCAAAACTAGATCAATATAATTGTTTATAGACATGATGACTACTTAATATTGTTGAAGGGATAAAGACTGTAAAAGTATATTATAAACTTAAAATACATACCATTATGCGAATCGGTGATATACCCTTTTGAGGGGAAGCTGTAATCCCATAAATATTGGATGAAATGAGGAAACTACATGATTACTCGATTCGTCATTATTTCCAAAGCTCTCGGATTCGAGACGGTCTAAAACCGTGCTATAGTGCGTGCTTTACGGATGCAGGATTTGGATTAACTACAATAACTATAATAAAACGGCTCTAGAATTGTTGGAGAAGTATTGGTAAATATCATCTCCTTGGCGAACGTCCGTTACGAATCATGGTACGTGCGCAACAGTATGCGTTTTGCGCTATACTCTTTTTGATGGCAGGGATACTTTTGGTTCGTTGAATGGAGATTCACGGCTGCGATTGCTCTATACTGAAGCTAAATCTCAAAGACTAGCTGAAGTAGAATGCTGGTTGATATCAACAAAGAGGAAACTTTGATCTTCACACCCAATTTCGATAGTCACTACACGGAACCTCGGTATTACCGGACCCCAACTACTTGTTAAGTCTTCTGCTAATAGCGTGAATTGGCTACGAATATGCTTCCCGCAATGAATTTGAGTGACTACGTAAGAGTATCATTGCCTACAATGAAATAAAGACATTACTATTTCAGAGTTAATGAATTTAATAAAGGTCACCTGGACTCCTACGAGACGGATATATACGGCTATCGTGTGTAAATTGCGTTAGGCGGGAAAGAATATTGTGTCAGGAGAAAATGCAGAGATCCAAAACAATCGCAAGGATCCCGATTGTGGAAACAGAAATACCCCTAACATGTAAACAACCCAGATACATTCGTACGTGCAGCCTGATCAAAACAAAAAAAATCTTCAAGAATTCCGATACCGCGATGAATAGGATCGTGATGGTATTGAATGTGTACAATTTAAAAAGATGCCCTCTAATATCGTATAAATAATTTGTACAAACACTCCCCAATACTGCCAGTCTCTTTTAGTGTAAATTTCTTTTTTCTTAAAGGCAGACTTCGTGAATATCTATATTTAAATAAGATATCCTATATAATGTTGTGATCCCTCGCCAATGAGGTGTAACCAAGAAAATAACAAGTATATGATTAGGATACACCAAAGCGGCCTCATATTGCATTTACCCGGGTATTTAATCTTAGCGTTGATACACCTCGATTAAAGTTGCTTGATCGAACTCCAAAACCATACGGGCTAAGGAAGAGTGATAAAACATTGATGTTACGGACTCAGGCTAAGCATCTGATTGCGTTTCACGCTTAGTATGATGCGTGAAAAGATAGAACGAACAGCAAAGAGCTCGATAACGCATTGACCATCTGAAACGTATTGGCAAAATTGAAATCAACGTATGATATCATCAAAGTATAGCTTTCTAAAAGGATAAGATACGTAAAGGAGATGCGCGAAGAACGAATTATTTAATTTAGTGAAGATATCTTACAATAAAACATGACCCTAATTGAGGAAATGTATTTACCATTTCTAACCAGGATATATTAAGCGCCACCTCACTTTCCGGGTACCCGTACCTAAGACGGGAGGAGTAGGGTCTAAAGGATAAATCTACAAAGATAGGGATGATTTTACGAACACTTTTTGAGCCATGTCATGAATCTATTATTGATTTTTCACCTCCTTCAGAAAATTATTGTAAAACGTATATGAAATTCCGAAGGAACAAAACTTTCAAAAAGTTCTGCATTCAAAACTTTAAACGCCGGTGCATGCCGTCGCGCTGTACCAACGTAAAACTATCTGATGAAGATTATATCACGTATCATTTTGTGCATTGTGCACGCAAAAAGATTAATAAAGCAAACACCTTCGAAGCCTATTCCAAGGAACCAGGTCCTAACGGAAAGCGGCTATTACATAGAAAGAGAAAAGAACTTTACCCGTTACACTTACCGGATGCGAAAATATCAATCTTAATTGATAAAAAAGAAGGTATGGCATACCTTTCAATGAATCCGATGTCCGATCGATGATTCCGTCAGCTGCGGGAGTAAAACGGCAGTTATAACACGTATGCTTCGATACGAATCAATAATAGGTATGGTATTCATCAACCGAGTTAACTCGAACATGATTATGTAGTTATCGAAAAGGCTTATGGCAACGATCTTCTATTCATACTATCGATACTCGAAGGGAGGCCAGGGTAAGAAACCATAAAATATTACTTGAAAAAAACAGGTAAATGGTTGCTGTAATAGAGAGTTATTAGATAACGATGAATTAATGATTATTTAATCGATCGGGGAATCAGTATCAGGATTAAAGGTATCCGACCTGCGGGTGAGATGTCGTGTGCTTACACAGGCGTTCGATGATCAAACTGGGTGACGGAGATAGGCATATCATCCTAGAAATAAATACAAAAAAATAGACACTAATGAGGAAATAGAATCCATCTTAAATCAGATAAATTGCAATAAATATTAATCTATAGACATAAACCGTTGTTATTATGAGAAAAATAATCCTTATCATTTTTTATGCCCACTAACTCGTATGGGCGCAAAAAAAGAAACCTTTAAAAAGCCAGTATAGTAAAAGCTGAAAAAGCACTCCAAACAGGAGCATTAGACATAGCAAAATCGCTCATTGATGTAACGGTGAAATCCGAAAAATATTCCTCTAAACCAAAAGCTTGGTATCTTAAAGGAGTGATTTATACGAGTATAGATACCACTAAAAAAGAAGAACTTTAAATCGCCTTGCAGATAATCCTTTTCCACAGCTACGGATTCGTTTGATAAATTTAAATCACTGGAAGACCCAAAAAGTCTGTTTTAATTACCGGTGACCAGGGTTGCCTATGTTGCCGAATCAAATCGGATCGTACTTTGCCCAGTACTATTTTGATACGGGATTAAAAGCCTACCAGGATGAGAAAGACTATAAAAATCTCTTAAAAACATAAAAAAGGCACTTTATTTTATACCTGAAGATACCTCTGCACTGCTTAATGCCGGTATCGTTTTTGCACCTGCTGCTGAAAGAATACGAACAAAGCACCTCGTATTTGGAAAAATACCTTGGCATGGGAGGTAACTCTACCGATGCCTATACCGTACTTTTCGGTAACTTACAGGGATCAATTGAAAGATAATGAAAAAGCTTTGGTCATAGCCCAAAAGCTATGGTGGCACATCCTAAAAATGCATATTTCCCTAAAATATCAGTTGGATATATATATCCGGATGAATAAATTGGATGAGGCTAAAGAAGTGATGATGAAACAGGCCGAAAATGACCCCTGAAGATGCAGAAACACGATACTATTTAGGACTCCTGAGTCAGGAACTAAAAGACAATAAGGAAGCTGAAAAATGGTATAGAGAAGCGGCTAAAATAGACCCAAACCACCTTGATGCCAACGTAGCTGTAGCTGAGTTGGTATATTCGAAAGCTAAAGAAATCAAGACCAAAATGAACCAATTGGGTATCTCTAAGGAAGATAAACAGAACGTTTTGCATTGGACAAAGAACTCGTTGAAAAGCTTAAAGAATCACTTCCTTATTGGGAGAATTGTGAAAAAATTGATGGGAACACATTGCCACACTTGATAAATTGCTTACCATATATAGCGACCTGGGAATGGAAAGTGGGATAACACGGATCAAGAAGAAAATGAAATCGCTTGGTCTATAAGGAATAAAAATTTACTTTATTCCTTCCTTTAAAGCTTTTTGGTTTTCAAGATGAGCGGCGAAGTTCCTCCCTGTATTCTGAGAGTACACTCGATTTGGAAAGAAACCCTGCATATTTTTGATTTTGTATTACCGGTAAATTCCATTGATTGGTTTCCTCAAATTTTATGAGCACAGAGTCTAAGTCTTCTTCAGGAGTAATAACAACCTGAGGATCGGTCATTACATCACTTACTTTCATCGTGTCGTATACCTCATGGTTGAAAATCATTTCCTTTACACTATCCAATAGTACAATGCCGACCAAATGTTGATTATCGTCGAGCACGGGAAATAAATTTCGTGTTGATTTTGCGATGGCTTTTACCAGCACGCGTAAAGTATCTTCCGGTTTTACTGTTTGAAAATTCGTTTCAATCATATTCTCCAGATTAAGTTTGCTGAGTAAATAACGATCCCTGCTCTCAACAGATAGGTTCATGCGCGTGGCTAGCTTTTTATTTTCCATAGAAAGAGGCTCAAAATACCTCACTATAGCGTTACTAATAGCAGCTACCATCATAAGGGGAATCATAAGATCGTACCCCCTTGTAATTTCAGCGATCAAAAATATGGCAGTAAGAGGGGCGTAAAATACACCACTTAATATACCTGCCATCGCTACTAACGTGAAATTACTTTGAGGGATTTTAGCCCAACCAATCATATTGATAAAATGGGAAAAAGTATACCCCAGATAAGCTCCTACACACAATGAGGGAGCAAAATTACCTCCGCTTCCTCCACTTCCTATAGTGATGGCAGTTGCCAGCACTTTGATGAGCATTAGGGCTACAATAAAAAGCAATACAGCCCAATCAGAGGTCATCCACGACTGCAGTATACTGTTTTGAACAAGAGCATTGGGATCTAGCATAGCCAATGATGTTATGCTGTCATAACCCTCTCCAAACAGAGGGGGAAAAAGAATAAGAAATAAGGCTAATAGAAGCCCCCCTAAAATGATTTTTGCGTGATTGTTTTTAATGGATGATACGGCATGTTCTATTCCGGTAAACATGCGAGCGTAATACAGTGATATTAAACCTGCTAATATTCCTAACAATATATAGAAGAACGTATTGGCCGGATCGAAAGATTGTACCATATCAAATGATAACAATACCCTTCTCCCAGCATAATTTTAGAAAACAAAGCACCGGCAGCGGCTGAAATAATAAGAGGGACAAAAGCGGAGACCGATACGTCGGTAAGCAGTACCTCAACGGCAAACAGTACGCCTGCTATGGGGGCATTGAAAGCACCGGCAATGGCTGCTGAAGCACCACATCCCAAAAGCAGGGTCTTCTCTTTATAACTTAGGCGGTATACATCTCCATAATTTGAACCAATAGCTGATCCCGCGCTCACCAACGGAGACTCCAATCCTACTGAACCACCAAATCCTACGGTAAAAGCATTGAGATGAGATGCGAGACCATTTGAGACCGGGGTAACGAACTCGATTTTTTAGCTATGCTGTACACAACGTTTGCACTTCCTGTTACAAAATCGCCCTTTTTGATAAAATGCCGGGTATACAAAAAAACTATATATAGACCTATAAGGGGAATAGGGTAAATAGGAAAAAGTCTTGAATAATCACTGGAATAAGATTGAACAAGTAAATTAATATTGTGTGTGAAAAGCTTGAGAAATTACTGCGGCCAGTCCACAAGAGCACCCTACTAGGATACTAGAAAAAATGAGAAACTGTTTTTTAGTTAATTGTTTTTGATAAAACCAACAATATGAACAAAAAGGTGGTGAGTTTGCTTGAGCATGAATGGTTTGTATGCCTTATATAACTATTAAACCTCAAGGTACTTTACTTTCAAATACATTCCCAAAATCATGTGTTGAATGAATTCATTTATTTCGGTATTCTTCAAACACATTTTGACCCAAAGAAATTTGTTACAGGGTGCGGGATTTGGTTGGTATATGAATTTTATTTATCATTGTCTAGCATTTGGTTTCGTAAAGCCTGAATACGGCTGACCGAATTAAAAGGGAATCCCGTGTAATTCGGGAACTACCTCCGTAGCTGTAAGCTCTGGGAAAAGTACACCCATTAATGTCACTTTTTGCCTTAAGCAAAAGGGAAGGCGGGTTGTATGGAGCGAGTCAGAAGACCTGCCTTAGGCTCATTGTATGTTTAAACTTTCGGTAGGAGGGTTTTGGCACATTTCTTTTGCAATCCCATTGCCTTAGCACAGCTCAACTGTGCTTTATGAATTTGTCGTCTTGTTCCAATCCGAAGGTATATTGAGTTAACCTTTTACGGAGATTTAAAAGTATAATATATGGATAAGAAGGCACTATTTATAAGCTGTATTGTATTGGTATATCAGTATTCTTTAGCTCAGAAAGAAATCGTTGACCCCGAAGCAAAAACTCTTTCTGAAATAGTTATTACGTCGACCAAGTTTGAAGTCCCTTTAAAAGAAACTTCTAGAGCGGTTCAAATTATTACAAAACAGCAAATAGAACAGAGTAGCGGAAAAGATATAGCCCAGATATTGCAACAACAATCGGGGTTAATCATAAACGGAGCATACAGCAATCCAAGCGCAGTAAAAGGTATTTTTATGCGTGGAGCAAAAAAACGAGTTTACATTAATACTTATTGATGGGGTTCCTGTAAATGACCCTTCCGGATCAGCAGGAGCTCTGGATTTACGATTACTACCGCTCGCACAAATAGAACGTATTGAAATAATCAAGGGAAACCAATCTTCTCTCTACGGTTCGGGTGCCATAGCGGGAGTAATAAATATTATAACGAAGAAAAAAGGTAAAGATAAAATAGGAGTGAGCGGAAATCTTGCAGTAGGCTCATTAAATACAGGAAATGGAGCCATTAATGTGGGGGGGAATAATAAGTCTGTTCAGTACAACATAGGAGTGCAGCACTCTTTTACGGCAGGGATAAGCGAAGCCAAAGCGCCTGCCGGAAAATCGTTTGATCCAGATAGATGGACTTTGACGGAGCATCAGCAAGTCTTGGATTTAGCGTCACGGAACACCTTACCATAAGCCCGTACATTCGCTTTATGAGAAATGAAGGCGATTATGATGCCGGGGCATTCGCCGATGCCGATAACCAAAGTGGCTTCCGAGTTGATGCACACCGGCGGTTTTATCGATTACAAGACAAAAAAATGAAAACAAGGATAGCCTATGGATACGCTCAAACAGATCGTGTTTTTAAATCCAATTTTGGCAAAACCCAGTATAAAGGATTTCTACACGATGTAGATGGGTATGTTTCATATGACTTTAAGTAACACATTTAATTTTTTAGCGGGAATGAACTATCAGGCACAGAACATGTTCGATGGAACAAAGTCCCTTTCCAACTCTTCTGTTTCCATTCTGTCTCCGTATTTAAATGCCATACTGAAACCCACGAAAAAATTAATTATTGAGTTAGGATATCGATTTAACGGACATTCAAAATACGGTGGGTATTCTACTTATTCTTTTGCTCCGGCTTACTGGATATCGGGAGCCTTAAAACTGTTTACTTCTTACAGCACAGGCTATAAAGCACCTACCCTGAGTCAGTTATATGGACCATACGGCGCCAACGAATTACTACAACCCCAGACAAGTAATTCATGGGAAGCAGGGATGCAGTCGTACTGGGCCAACGATAAGCTAAACGTCATGGTAACCTATTACGAAAAGACAGATTGATAACCTGATTGTATTATCTTCCTCCTTATACAAACAGAGATATACAATACGACAGAGGAGTGGAAACCAGCTTAGAGTGGACCGATACAAAAGGTAAACTAAATCTTAGAGTGGCTTATGATTTTGTCGTGGGAAACATTACAGAACATAGATCATCGTTGGGTGACACCACCTATAACAACTTAATCAGAAGACCCAAGCACAGTCTGAAAACTACACTTGAATACAGACCCGTACCGGCTTTTTTAGTCAGCTTGAACGGACAATATATAGGTAATAGAACGGATCTCTTTTTTTGACTCAGACGGGATAAAAATACGTGATATGGATGCCTATTTGCTCCTGAATGCCTACCTGGAATACCGTATTATGGGCGAAAAAGTAAATTTATTTGCTGATTTAAAAAAAATATTGGCGATACTGACTATGCTGAAAACCTATGGATACAGTACGCTTAGCTTTAATGCACAGTTTGGACTCAGGTTTCGGTGGTAACACTTTTTTGTATAGAATATGCTATTATGAAACATCAAATTAATATTCGTTTTTCTGTTTTACTGGCGATTACTCTTGTACTGGGTATAGGGCGTTTTATAACCCTGAGCGGAAATGATCCGATTTGGAACTTTACCCCTATAGGAGCTATGGCTCTATTTGCGGGAACGTATTTTACCAACCTACATAAATCGTATATCTTTCCCATGTTGGTGTTGTTTATCAGTGACCTCTTTCTCATGCAATTCGTATATGCAGAACACCGATTGGGCTTTCTTTACGAAGGCTGGTATTGGACATACGGTAGTTTTTTTATCATGATATTGATCGGCCGAATATTTAGAAATAAAGTTTCAGTTTTTTCCTTTATACTGAGTAGCTTTTTAGCAGCATTGATGCATTACATAGTTTCAGACTTTGGGGTATGGATAGGGGGGGGGATAGACCTTACTACAGGCTATCCTTATACACGAGATTGGAATGGAATGGTAAGCTGTTATGTACAGGCTATCCCGTATTTTAAAAACATACTCCTTGGTAACCTGGTATACGGTACGATTCTATTTGGTGGATTTGAATGGGCACAGAGCAAATTTACCATATTACGGGTTTCAGTTTGACCGAAAAATAAGAAAAATGGGTTGTATAAGAATTTGATGTTGGTTTATGACGGGTATGTGATTCCCGTTGTTATCACTCATAAAATACATTGAATCCAATTACCGTGTTGTATGGAGTTTGAAAATGATAACGGGCTATAGAATAACTCATAAGCTGATGGTTATCGATCGACTATTTCCGGTAAATCTGTTAGTACTTTAACTACTGCAGTAGGGTCAATACCACACGGATCAAAACCAAATCTACGGTACGTTTAACCCAAACAGAACGCATTCCGTATGAAACAGCTCCAATCACATCAAAAGGGTTAGCCGAAATGAACCATGAATTTAATTTTTTGGCATCATAGAGCCTTTACTTTGTATACATATCATATCTTGTATAGAATATAGAATATTTTTTACCCTTTTTATCCTGTATATTTGTTTTATACGCAACGCTGGATGCCTATGAAACAGTACCTCGAATTGATGAAGGAAATTTTGGATGAGGGTACCCTAAAGACCGACCCGTACCGTACGGGAACATTATCGGTTTTTGGTCGTCAAATACGGTTTAACCTATCTGATGGTTTTCCATTAATCACAACAAAAAAACTTCACATACGCTCTGTTGTGCACGAAATTACTCTGGTTTTTAAAAGGAGATACAAACATTCAATATTTGAAAAAAAATGGAGTATCTATATGGGATGAATGGGCTGATGAACAAGGAGAACTTGGCCCGATATACGGCAAACAATGGAGAAAGTGGAGTTCCCCTCACGGAGCCTCAATTGATCAGATTTCAAGAGTAGTAGAACAGATCAAGAATAACCCCAACTCCAGAAGACACCTTGTATCGGCTTGGAATCCTTCTGAAATTGATAACATGGCACTTCCTCCATGTCATGTATTATTTCAATTTTATGTAGCAGGAGAAAAACTTTCCTGCCAGCTTTATCAACGAAGTGCCGACTATTTTCTGGG